GAACTTGTGGTGGCACATACCTTTAATCCCAGCACTTGGGAGGCAGAGGCAGGTGGAGCTCTGAGATTGAGCCCAGCCTGGTCTACATAGTGAGATCCTGTCTCAAAAAACAACCCCCCAAAAAAACAAGCAGAGGGCTCTTAGCAGTTCAGACAAATACCTTTGCTCCAGCACCAAGATGCCAGTTCCAAGGGACCCTGAGCCCTGAATCTGATATGTGGTGAACCACAACCTCCCTGGATGGGCAGGGCCTTATCCTCAGGGCAAGCTTCTCACTCCAAGAATAAATACCCTGAAAATCATAGACCTGGACTGTGGGCCCCAGCAATGAAGATGTGGATAGGACTTATAGGTCAGGGCAGATGTAGCTGGATCCAACTAGGTAGAAACATGTCCCGACCCGCGGGACACCTCTACCGTGGGACGATGAGTGAGGGTCCTAGAAGAAATGAACAAACAAGGAACACGAAGAAAGGAAGCAAGACAGTGTTCTGATCAAGCTTCGTTTATTGAGCACACACAGCATATTTTTACAGTAGGGTTAGGGCGGGGGAGTGGAAGGCGGGGATAGAAGAAAGAAGAAGAAAGGCTCTGGTGGAATTTTCCACTAAGGGCTGGTTGCCAAAGTAGGGCAGAGGGGGTTTTTCTAAGAAGGCATGTGGTTAGGCGAGATAAGGAAGTTGCCTAAGTAGGAGCAAGGGGCCAGGGCAGGGCTAAAGTGAAAAACCATGTTTTCTTTTGAAGGGATCGTTAAGTTTTTCTTTTATGCTATGGCTGGCAATTATTAAACGGTTTCTGGCAGAAACAAACCTTGTAGATCAAGGAGAAACAGAGATGCCCTGATCCTAAGAAGGTGGAGAGGGAAGAAAAGGGCTTGGGGGATGGAGGGCTGGCTCAGCTGTTAAGAGCACTGGCTGCTCTGGAGAGGACTGGGGTTTGGTTCCCAGCACTCACATGGTGGTTAACCTTCTGTAACCCAGGTCTAGGGGATCTGACACCCTCTTCTGGCTTCTGCAGGCATTGCAAGACACTGGTGCACTTACATGTAGGCATTACACTCATACATACAGATAAAAATACATAAACCCAGCCGGGCGTGGTGGCACAAGCCTTTAATCCCAGCACTTGGGAGGCAGAAGCAGGCAGATCTTTGTGAGTTCAAGGCCAGCCTGGTCTACGTAGTTTCAGGACAGCAGGGGCTACAGGGAGACCCTGTCTCAAAAAGACCAAAAAAAAAAAAAAAAAAAAACACCATAAACCCAAAGGAGATGTCAGTGTCTTTGTGGCCTCTCATTGAAGGGTCCAGGAGGGGTGTGAGGAACACCTTGCTCTCTTCCTGGGGTGGCTCAGGTTCTGACTAGCATCGTTGCCATTAAGGGAAGAGTTCCCCTGGGCGGATGCTTCCCAGATCAGGGGTCTCTCATCCTGGCTCTCATCTCTGCAGCCCCCAACCCTTCCTAGCCTTCAGACCAGGAAGCAGCAGTCTTCTGCCTGCTTCGGGATCTCAGGCCTTCATGTGGAGCTCAGGTCAGCACAGCACACAGTTCTTGAGGTAGTCCTAAAGATAACAGGTGCCAGGGGTCTTGGCAAAGATGGTATCTGCAGGTCAGGGAAACACCCACCTGCCACCCTGGACTAGACTTGAGACCTGATTGAGGGAGCGGCCAGCCATGTGGCCAAGACCTATGACCAGAGAGAGATTCAGGGCAGGAGGCCAGGACCAGATGCATTTACATACATGCAGGCAACACACACACACACACACACACACACACACACACCCACCAATGAAAATGCTGGGTGTGGTAGCTGTTAGATAAAAAGGTGGCAGGGGTCAGGATCACCATGAAACAGAAACGAGGACTCTGGCAAAGCGAGAGTTTAATTGGGTTTGGTGGGGCTGGTCCTCGGGCATGAGGAAGAACCAGCAGCTTAAGGGCTGCAGAGGGTAGCTTATAAAGGGAAAGAATGTGGAAAAAGAATATTTTTTCTGCTGTTTGGGACTCTTAGGGGCTGCTTGCTTAGTGGAGAGCATGGGGTCTGTACCTGGTGAAGCATATTGGGGAAAAGCAGTTACTGTAAAACATGTTTTCCTACAATTACAGAGTTCCAGGAATTAACTGCAGCTAAGGGCTTGGGAAACCTGTTTGTCAGCCTGTGGGGCATGCTCTGGTGATCACAATACATTGGTTTTTAATTTCCCAGGGGCTGCTTTTGTTAACTTACAGGTGGCTGGGAGTTGGTTGACTCAGCTTCTCTTAGGAGCTTTATGGCTTCTGGGTCTGGGGTCACCTAGATCTGAGCCCTATCAGTAGCACATGTCTTTAATCCCAGCACTCTGGAAGCAGAAGCAGGCAGATCTCTGTGAGTTTGAGGCCAGCCTGAGCTACGTGGTGTGTTTCAAGGCCAGCTGGGGTTACAGGGAGACCTTATTTTACAACACAAGAGGAGCTGGAGCAATGGCTCAGTTGTTAAGAACACTGGCTGTTCTTGCCGAAGACCTGGGTTTGAATCCTAGCACCCACAAGCTAACAACTGTCCACAGCTCTAGTACCAGGGGATCCAACAGCCTCTTCTGTCCTCCTCAGGCATTACACAGACACAGGTGCACTTACCTGCAGGCAATATACACATATACATAATAATAAATAAAATATTTTTTTATAAAAACAAGAAAGTTTACAATTCAGCATTTTTATTTGTTATGACACAGGCTCTCCTAGCCCAGCCTGGCCTTGAACCTTCTATGTAGCTGAGGATGACCCTGAATTCCTGATCCTCCTGCCTCTACCTTTGGAGTGCTGGGTTAACAGGTGCGTGCCCAAACCCAGCAGAATTCCTGAATGTGTGATGAGCTTTGCTGGGAAGCAAACTCCCCTGAGAAAAGTGCGTACTGTGGGACAGACTGTGGTTTTCTTCCAAAGAGACCCCGGTGTTAGCAACTTCTCCCCATACTGCTCAACAGCGCACAAAGGAGCCAGTGCCCACTGAGCCTGCTAGTCTACAAGTCCTGTTTGTAGCGTAGCAAATTCAACTCCACTCTAACCTTCTCTTTCATGTTTCTTGTTTTCTTTTCAGACAGGGTCTTATGTAGCTGGTCTCGGACTATGTAGCCAAGGATGACCCTGAACGCTGAACTCCTGATCCTCCTGCCTCCACCTCCTGAGTGCCTGGATGTGTCACAGGCCTGTGACACCACCCTCGGCTTATTTGGTGCTGGAGATGAACCCAGGGTCTCCTGTGTACCAAGTGAGCACTCTACCCTCTGAGCTACAAGCACTCTGCCCTCTGAACCACAAGTACTCAGTGAGCTACAAGCACTCTACCCACTGAGCTACAAGCATTCTACCCACTGAGCTATAAGCACTCTGCTCATTGAACCACAAGTACTCACTGAGCTACAAGCACTCTACCCACTGAACTACAGCCACAATCTCAATTGGTTTTTTCTTTTTATCTTTTTGAGACAGGGTCTCTTTGTAGCTCCAGCTGTCCTGGAACTCACTATGTAGACCAGGCTGGCCTCGAACTCACAAAGATCCACCTGCCTCTGCCTCCCAACTGCTGGGACTAAAGGCGTGTGCCACCATACCCAGCTCAATTGTTTTTTTAAAAAAAGTGATGTTAGGGGCCAAAAAATGACCCAATGGTCAAGGGCACTGGCTGTTCTTGTAGAGGACCCAGGTTCGGTTCCCAGCACCCACATGGTGGCTAACGACTGTCTGTAACTCCTCTTCCAGGGGATCCAATACCCTCTTCTGGCCTCCATGGGCATTGAACAACAAGGATGCACTTAGACACATGCAGCCAAACTCTAGTAAAGATGAGACTTATAAAAAGAAATATTAGCCTGGCATGGTGGTGCACACCTTTAGCCCCAGCACTCCAGTGGCAGAGGCAGGCAGATCTAAGTGAGTTTCATGCCAGCTGGGGCTACAGGGAAAATCAGGTGCTGGTGTTCAGTGGATAGAGTGCTTGTAGCTGAGTGGATAGAGTGCTTGCAGCTCAGTTGGTAGAGTGCTTATAATTCTGAGGGTACAGTGCTTGTAGCTCTGAGGGTAGAGTGCTTGTGGCTGAGTGGGCAGAGCCTGGGGTTTAGCTCTTCAGAGCAGCCATGCCCAGCACAGCCCCCAGGGCTCCTCCTCCTGCCTTTATCAGTTGACAGAAAGCCTGGTGCTGACAGTAAGCTCCTTGAAGCCTTAAAGGAGGCTAAAGTGCAAGCTCACAGTGACTGGAACTAGCACTGCCTGTCTTAGACCCCCGGAGGAAGTAGAGGACTTCCTGGGGAAGGGGCGTCCTCAGACAATGGAGACTCAGGGCCATGGCCAAAGGGCCACAGGGAATCTTCCTGAACAGGTTTGTACAAGAATGGATTGTTACAACCGGGATCCTGGTCACTGGAGCCTCTGGGCCTTGTCCACTGGTGGGTCTCAGACAGGGGCAGAAAAAGGGGGTTCCAGGGCTCCCTGAGATGGACCCAACCCCCTTGGGAAGGCTCCTGGTGAAGGCCTATTAGAAGAGTCGGGAAATGAGGGGAGACAAGTGGGGCTGAGGAAACTGCCATGAAGAGGCCTGGGGATTAGAAGCCAGGCCACATGAGGGGGTGGACACCAGGCTGGCTGAGGAATTTCATGAGTCATTTCTGAGGAGGCGGGTCCCTGGGAGGACAAAGGGCCTGAAAACGGTCCACAGTGTACAGCCTGGGGATGGGTTCTGTCCAAGCAGTGTTTTGTATATTTTTTTTTTGGTCTTTTTGACCAAAAAATAAATAAATAAGAAATAAAAATAATAAAGTAAAAAGAAAGCTGGAATTTGGGCCGAGTTTAGTGCCTGCAGTTGGTAGTGTTTGTGATTGTAGCTCAGTGAGTGAAGTGCTCATCTAACATGTATGAAGCCCTGGGTTCACCCCCAGCATCCATAAACCAGGGGTGATGGCACATGCCTGTCATCCCAGCACTAGGGTGCTGGAGACGGGAGGATCAGGAGTTCAGGGTCAGCCTCCGCTACACAGCAAACTCGAGGCCCCCCTGTGCACTGTCTAAAATACCAAGCTCTCATTCTCAAAGGGGATGTTTCTGGAGTGTATCTGCCGGGTTTTCTGTCCCCTGGGGGCCCCCTGGCACCCCACCCTGCTGCAGATCACCACGCGGATTAACTGCCTGCAGCTCTCTAACGCACAGCCCGCGTGAACGTCACTCCCGTTTTTCCACTTCCCCGTCGCGGAGCATGCCCAGTTGCTGACAACAACCCTCACTAGCCCCGCCCCGCCCCCACTGCCCTTTCAGTCCGATTTCCCATTGGCTGCAAGCACCGCGCGTCTCATCCGACCAATGGGAGTTGTGGGTAGGCGTGGCCGAGGGCGGGCAAGGTAGCCGGGGCCTCGCGTGTCCATTGGCCGGCTGGACGAGGGGAGGAGCCGCTGGCTCCGGCTGCTGCGATGAGCTGGGGCAGATTGAGCCGGTTGTTGAAGCCTGCGCTGCTGTGCGGGGCTTTGGCTGCGCCCGGGCTGGCTGGCGCAATGGTGGGCATACTGCGGACGTGGGGGATTGCGGCTAAGGGGTCGGGACCGCGAATCGCGGCTGGAGGAAGGCATCCTAGCTGAGGTCACCGCGTCCGAGCTGGGGAGGAGGGGTCGGGGGTCGTTTCAGCCAGACTAGGAGTCATCCAAGTGGGAAGGGGGACCCTGGGTGGCATCCCTGGGGCTGAGGTGATGGGGGAGCCCCTGGGTGGAAGGGAACCGATGTTGGGGTCACTTGAGGGTTGGGGCGGTGGACTGAGGCCTGGTTACGTGCCTACTACCCCGCCCCGCCCTCCTCGCTGCGTCACAGTCGGCGGCCCCTTGGCTACCGGCTCTCTGTCCCTCGCGCTGCGCTGGAGCCGCAGCATACCCGGCCGGCATGGGCCGCGAGGCCTCGGGCAGCCCTGGGCGCTGCAGACCGCGGGGCCGGTGTCCTGGAGGCCGCAGGCGCCGTAGACTCCGACGCCAGAGTCCACGCAAGCGTCGCAGCCCAAGAAGGAAGAAGAAAGGCCATGCGCGAGGGCGCAAGAGGCCACCACCTCGGCAGATGGAGCCCGCGCCCTCCACCCCTGGGCCTCCCCGGCGGGACCCTCCACAATGCAGCACCTGCGCCGAGCTCCTGGGCTTGGTGTGCCTCCTGGGTTTTCCTCCAACACCCCGTATTCTCTGGTAGCATCTTTCGTTTGGAGGAGGGGCGCAGAATCCCTTTCCAGGATGGCCTATGGTGGGAGCGTGCAGCCGTCATTGCTTCTGTTATTTTTTCCATGCTGCACGGGCTTTGTTTCTTTTTCCTCTGCACCTGGGAACCTTGAACTCCATTGTGGGGGACCCTAAGTGGGACACCTCGTCTCCCTTTTCTTGCAGTGCGCATCTCGTGATGATTGGCGCTGTGCGCGCTCCATGCATGAATTCTCAGCCAAGGACATTGACGGGCACATGATTTGCCTAGATAAATACAAGTGCGTGTCAGGTCACAGTGGGGTTTACAGGGTGGGCCTGGGAAAAAAGAGGATACTCCCCTGATCACCAGGCCCCAAGAGCACTCTTTCCCACCCAGGGGTCATGTGTGCATCGTCACGAACGTGGCCTCTCAATGAGGCAAGACAGAAGCAAACTACACTCAGCTGGTGGACTTGCACGCACGCTACGCAGAGTGTGGTTTGCGCATCCTGGCTTTCCCCTGCAACCAGTTCGGCAGGCAGGTACACGTGGCTGGAGCCCAGGGAATGGGGAGCAAGGAGGCTCTGCTATGTAAGTCGGGGTACCACCTCCCCAGTGCATCTATGGCTGTCCCCAGGAGCCAGGAAGTAATCAAGAAATCAAGGAGTTTGCAGCCGGCTACAATGTCAAGTTTGATATGTACAGCAAGATCTGTGTCAATGGCGATGATGCCCACCCGCTGTGGAAGTGGATGAAAGTCCAGCCCAAGGGCAGGGGCATGCTTGGAAAGTGAGTAGCCCTGCGTGGGGGTAGGGCAGACAACAGGATGGGATGGGCCTGGACCATGGTCTGGGCAGGTGTAGTCTTTTTTTTGTTTGAGAACTTACTATGTAGCCCAGGTTGGCCTTGCTCTCACAAGAGATCTGCCTACCTCTGCTTCCCAAGTGCTAGGTTTAAAAGGCTGTGCTACCACGCCCAGCCTAGGATTCCACTTTAAAATTTTTATTTTTGTTTTGTTGATTTATTTACTTTTATCTGTGTGCATGAGTGTTTGCCTCCACATATAAAAGTGCAATTGTTGTTCATGCAGTGCCCTCAGAGGCCAGATGATGGCGTTGGATCCCCTGGAACTGGAGTTATAGATGGTCATTAGCTGTATTTGTGGGTGCTGGGAACAGAACCGGGGTTCTCTGTAGGAACAGCCAGTGCTCTTAACCACTGAGGCAGCTTTCCAGGCCTCTCCTATTTTTAAAATTGTTTTTACTTTATGTTCATGAGTGTTTGCCTGCATGTATGTATGCATGTATGTACACCCATGTGTGCAGTGCCCACAGAGGCCAGAAGAGGGCTTCAGAGGCCCTGGAACTGGAGTTGCAGATGGTTCTTAGCCACCATGGGGGTGCTGGGAAGCAAACCTGGTTTTTCTGTAAGAGCAGTTCTCTAGCTCTCCACCCCCCCTTTTTTTTTTTTTTTTTTTTTTTTGGTTTTTGTTTGTTTGTTTTCTAATACATTATTTCTGTTTGTGAGCACCAAGTTGGTGGTTTATTCCTTCCACCCTGTGGGTCCTAGGGATCAAGCTCAAGTTTTCAGGCTTGGTGCATCAGAGCCCCCTGTTCATGGCTGCATTGTATTCCAGCCTATAGCTGAACCATTTCACCCTTGCAGGTGCCTCTTGTAAACTCTTTTTTTTCCTCCCTCCCAGTGCCATCAAGTGGAACTTTACTAAGGTAAGGGTGGACTGCAATGGAGTGGGTGAGTGGCCTGGTTTCTCCGAACCCTATGACTTATGCCATCCTCCTTCCCTGGCAGTTCCTCATTGACAAGAACGGCTGCGTGGTGAAGCGCTACGGTCCCATGGAGGAGCCTCAGGTGGGTAGCTTTGTTCAAGGAGTCTAGGTGTTGGGGAAGGGGCATGCCTGACCTCTTTGTCCCCCCCCACACACAGGTGATCGAGAAGGACCTGCCGTGCTATCTCTAGCCCCACAAGTGTGTGCCCCTCACCGAGCACCCCCCTCGCCCTGTGTCCCCCAGAACCTTCCACCCCGGCACTCATGAAGGTCTACCTGCAAACCAGTGTGCTGGTGGGGCAGACCTGAGGAACCAGCGTGCATCCTGGCCGGATGAAGTTTCAGGAGGCCTGTGGCCCTGGGCTTGAGCTCCACCCTGTTTGCCTTGTGGGAATAAAATGTAGAAATTGCCTGTTGTCCTACCTAGGAGTGGGGTGTCCTAGGGCTCACACCCTGATGGAGGTCAGCTGGCCACCTGGTGATTCCCCAAAGCTCTGCCCCCACCAGACCATTGTTGGGAGCCCCACAAGGACCTGGCTGTGGGCCGGGTTCTAGCAGGCGGTGTCCCCCATTAGGAGCCCCTTGTGGCCTCAGGCCTTAGAAGCTGAGTCAGGGCGCATGTCTGTTCCTGCTGGCACCATGAGGGCTGTGGGGTGACGGGTCTGCCAGTAGCCTTCTAGAGGACCAGGCTAGCCTCCCTCTCCTTCAGCAGTACAGTTGGGATGCTGCCAGATCAAGGCAGATTTGAGAATCCGTCTCAGGGCCTTGTGCTGGGACTCTGCTGGCTGTGCGCTTTGTGCTGCTGGCTTAACTGACCCCAGGATTGTGGACCAAGTAGTGGCCATCTGCTTCTTGGCTTCCAGCCTGCCATCCCCCATTCCCTTCTTCTCCCCAAACACCTGCCCCCCAACACAGTGGGTGCCAGGACCCCACAGACACAGGGAAAATCTAGCCTTGGCCTGGCCCCCTGCCAGCTTATCCTGGCTTTGCCCACTGTAGGTGGCAGCCACTCCTTTGTAACCTCCAATCTGTGTGATCGCGCACACCCCTTTCCACCACCCTGCAGCACACTGGATGTAGGCAAATGGCTCATATATTTAAAAAATATCTTTACATATTTACAGTAGGGTTTGTTATAAATACATAGAAACCAGGGCCCTCCCGCCCTTGGATTCCAGGGCTGGGGAAGGCCGGTGGGCAATAATTTAGGGAGCAGGGATTGCATATATTAATGGGGGGGGGGTCCCCAGAGGTGGCAGGGCCTAAGCACCGGGTTTCCTGAGTTTGCAGCCCACGGGAAGGCACTGCCTGGGCTGAGTCCAGGGTGGCGGCAGCTGCCTAAGAGTTCGGGAAGGGTGGGCTGAAGTGGATTACGCTCTGCCGCTCCGTGGGGCTGTCAGCTGGGCCTGCACGGAGTGTGCGCAGCATGTCTTCTAGAACCTCCCTGAAGTTGATGGGGCAGGCCTGCTGTGCCAGCTCTGCAGGGGCAGCGGGCTCTGGGGGCAGCGGGAAGGTGAAGCGTGGTGGTGGTGGAAAGGCCGGGGGGCTGCAGGTCAGGTCCAGTACCTCACCCGGACCACAGGGCAGTGTGATCGTGTGTGGTGTGGGCGGGCGGACAGCCCGGCTATGGGAACTGCGCCGCTTGGCCTCCGCGTCTATCAACTGTAGCTCCTGCAGGACTCGGGGCACGCAGCCCTCAGGGATCCTGATGCCTGCGGGGGTAGGGGGTGGGGGGTGTGACTCAGGTCCCGTGGTCCCCCAGGACCCTTACTCCCAGGACCCTGCTCTCCACTCACCCACTTGCTTCTTGTCCTTGGTCTTGAGGCGCACGATCTGCAGGTAGCTACTGCTGCTGACGTCCGCCATGACAGCAGCCACTCGCCCCCACACACGGAGGAGCGCCCCGCAAAGCACGTAGTGGTGGCGCAGCCGCAGGCCCTGCCCACAGCCTCTGCCATCCTGTGCTAGGCGGCAGCGCTGGTTCCTGTGGGACTTAGACCTGGTCAACTTGTTGGGAGACCAGTCCCAGAGCGCTGGGAACCCGTGCCCGCCCCCCAGTTTCCCTGTCCTTACCAAGTCACATGGATGCACCGCTCCAGTGACAGTACATAGGTGCTCTCCCAGGGACCCCGGGCCTCCTCTGCAGTCACCTGGGGAGAAAGGCAGCAGTCAGTGGGGAAACTGAGGTTCAGGAGGCTGAGGCACCCTTGTGGCATGCAGAGTCTGGGGTAGGGTCAACAGGGTCCAAAGAGGGATGTCCCCACAGGCCCCCATACCCTGTGGAAACGTCTGCACAGACTGTCGAGGGTCTCCAGCTGGCTCTGGCGTCCAATGTTGGGTTTGTATACGGTGAAGTGTTCTCCCCGGTTCTGCTCAGCAAGGAGGCAGCTTGTCCTGTTGCCTCGGACCTGCAGAAGGGGTGGTGAGGCTGGGGGCTGGGGGCTGGAGGAGTCTGGAGTAGCTGGCAGGCTGATCAGCCTAGGGTAACCCACCTTGTAGGACACATAGAAGCCATCATAGGGGCCTGTCAGCTCCAGAGACCTGGCCAAAGCATCTTCCCACTTCAGACCCCGGTCCACGCTGATCTGCCACAGCAAGTAGGGTGTTAAAAGGTTCAGGGGGGGTTAAGCTGGGCTGGGGGACCCCCTGCTCACCTTGTGGAGGACAACCTGCCCATCCTGTGGGTGCCCAGGGGCCAGGAAAACCTGTTGGCTCTCTTCCTGGATTTCATTGATGCCAGGGGCCAGGTCTGCAGAGAGGCCATGAGGATGGTGAGGGGGGTCTAGGGGAAGGGTATACTATGAGGGGGTTCTGGAGGTGGTGGTGGGGTCTGGGAGGCTTTGGGGCTGCACTTAGGCTTGACTGGAACTTGGGGAAGCTGATTCAATGCTGGGGTACACCCCAGAGAAGACCCCAGGAGTGCACAAAGGAGCCAAAAGCCTGGAAGTGAGACAGTCTGTGGGTGGGTATCCCATGACACTTTCTACCATCCCGTGTCCTGCATTCACAGCTACTCACGGGGACTGTGTCTGTTGACAAGGACCACTGTCTGTCTGGTTTGGTTCTTTTTGAGACAGTCTCCCTGCAGCCCCAGCTGTCCTGGAACTCGCTATATAGACTAGGCTGGCCTCGAACTCAGAGATCTGCCTGCCTCTGCCTCCCAAGTGGTGGGATTAAAGACTGGGACCACCACACTCACCTTTTTTTTTTTTTTTTTTTTTTTTGACACAGCTGGCCTGGAACTTACTATGTAACCAAAGCTGGCCTTGATCTCACTGAGATCTGCCTGCCTCCACTGTCTTTGTAAATATTTATTTTTATGTGTATTTATGTCTGAGGGTATGCACGCGTGTGTGCAATAATACCTGTGAGATCCAGAACAGGTTGTCAGACCTCCATGGAGCTGAGACTGTTGCTGAGCCAGCTTTCCAGCCCCTCTTAATTTTTTTTTTTTTTT